GGGCTTCCCTGTAGGCGCATGGATATTATCCTATCACTTACAGCATTGTACCTCATGACTGATCTGGCTATGTTCTTTTTGATGATGAATGCAACACCATTCCTTTTCAATTTGTCATTCCCTGCATAGTAAACAATGTAGTTACCAGATTCAAAATGGCCAAAACCAGTCTATTTCAGCTCACTGATGCCTAAGATATTGATGTTGATGTGTTCCATTTCATTTTTGACAACTTCCAATTTTCCCAGATTCATACTTCGTACATTCCATGTTCCGATTTTGAATGGATATTTACAGCTGTTTGTCTTCATTTTGAGTTGTGGCCCATCAGCAAATGAAGGTTCTGTGTGCTTTTCTCCCCCAAGCTTAACTCTGTTCACGTCATCATGGTCAACTCTACTTTGAGGAGGCATTTTTTTTCCCAGTCACATTCTGAGTGCCTTCCCACCTTCCGGTCCTCTGTCTGACAATGTTTCTCCATTAAATCATAAGAATCTCCTTTCACCAGACCCATCTAGACAAGACGAAAACTATTCAGTAGGAATTCTACCTTCCCCTTCACAATCTAAATAGCTAATTAAATTTTGATGCATGAGAACAAGTTTTACTTCCCGGTTTTGTCAAATATTAGAATCAGTTTGTATTCTCAGCTTTTTCACCCTTTTAGAATCTTTTAGCACCCCTGCTTGAACTATAGAAAGCTGCTGAGAGGAAAGTACTATTCCTGCCAATACCTTTAGTAGACTATATAAATAGTGATACTGCTAATGCATCTATTCTCCGTGTCATTTTGTTTCCAGGCCATCTTATAAAAAGCATTCAAGCTTTCCATGGGGAAGTAACAAGCCACTTCACAAGATATGGTTTAATTAAGCCCAATATTGGTTTATTTATTGAGGGTTTTTTTCCTGTGTTACATGTGATTGACACAGTTAAGATGTGTGTTCTTTTAACAGGTGAGGGATCTAAAGGTATATTTGAAGAAATTTTTCTTTACAGTAAGATGTTTTTCTTATGTGAACTTAAAAACTAATTTATTGGACTTTGTGCATTTTGTTTCTCCAGTTGAGGGAACCCGGTCTGAAATAAAGTCTTACCCCAAGTTGCCTCTGAACTCTGACTGACGGATCTCCAAACATCAAGTCCAGCTTTGTTCGCCAACCTGTCTGACATGTCGGGACCCGTGCCCAGCAGAGCCAGAGTTTACACAGATGTTAATACGCACAGACCCCGGGAATACTGGGATTACGAATCACATGTGGTGGAATGGGGGTAATTATTCCTGTTTAGTTTGCTATAGTCATCAAAAGAGCTGAATCTTAAGGATCTATTGGATAATTTATGTCAGGAAATCTACATGACTGTGTAACTGTCATTAAAGTCCAGTTGATATTTTCTTCTTTTGAGCCTTAAATTGATCTTTGTTTTGTTTTGTTTTTCATTGAAGCAGTAGAGTATTGCTGTAGCAAATTATCAGTTGTGATGGCCCAATCATTTAAAAATCACTTCAGTGTTTTCTTATCCTTTTCTCTAATTATGTCTTCTATGTACAAAGCTGGTAACAAGTTACTTATCAGTTTGCCTCTCAAGCTAAGGATTTTGCAGATAGGTGAGAAATGAAACTTGAAAGACTTGGATAACACCAAACTCTTTCATTGAAGTATTTTTTGAGGTCAGAGAATGATGTCCCATGATGATACTGAAGGCTGAAACCATTCTTCAGAAAGGTGTCTTCTTTCTAATGAGAAATTAAGTTCTTAAACATTTGCCCTTATCACACAATTAAGCATGTATAATATGTTAATCATCCCATATTCCATCTTGAACAGTTAGTCTGCCTGGATAGCTGTACTTGCCCTTGTCATTCTCTCTGCAGACTCCTGGTGTATCACTGTAGGATCAGCATTGAACTGTGAGCCACAAGGTCAGCAGTTCAAACCCTTCAGCTGCTACTCAGAAACCCTATATAGTGTCGCTGTGAGTTGCAACTGACTCGGTGGTTCTCAACAAGAACAATTCTTTTTATTGAATGTTTACATTTCCTGGCCTGGTGTGGTATGTGTTTAATTGATCACATTTTAGTTTTTGTGATAATAGCATTTTGACCAAGTGTAAAAGGAGAGCAGTTTTTAAATTTGAATCTGTAACTTCTATACACCACGTTTCCTATCTGTCCAGTACCTGCAAGTGATTAAAGACAGTTTGTTTTTTATGTTTTCATGTTGTTGCTTCTAAGGATTGTTTCACATTTTTTGGATTCTAGGGTAATACCTGTGATTCTACTGCAGAAACTTCAACCACCTTCTTTAAGTTGAATACTTTGTGCTTTAAAAAACTCACTGCCACGAAGTCACTTCTGACTCATAGCAAATCCTATAGGGCGACTCATAGCAAATCCTATAGGGCAGAATATAACTGTAGGGTTTCCAAGATATTCTAAATCTTTACAAGAACTGACAGCCTCATCTTTTGTGGAACAACTGGTGGGCTTGAACCACCAATCCTGTGGTTAGCAGTCCAGTGCTTAACACATTGTGCCACCAGGACTGATTGCTTTGTGCTTTTTGTGTTTAAATGACACTCTAAACAGCTTTGAGGTTTTGGCTTGGTGCCATTTGCCTGCCTGTATTTATTTTGTGTTCAGGAGACTTCAACCAGTAATAAGAACTTCTTTTCCTAGAGCTGACATAATTATTACATTTTCCATTGTTTTTAGTATCTTTTGCCCTCTCTGTTCATTCACTGTCTTTTTAGATGCTTAAGAAAACTGAATGGCTGATTTGTTACATACTATATTCTTAGTGTCTCTAGCAGGAGTGAACAGAATTTCTTGTTATGTGCCATGGAATCAGTTCCGACTCATAGCCACCTTGTATGGGGTTTCTGAGGCTGTAAATCTTTACGGGAACAGAAAGCCTTATCGTTCTCCCACCAAACAGCTGGTAGTTTTGAATTGCTGGCTCTGAGGTTACCAGCCTGATTCATAACCACTACACTACCAAAGCTGCTTGAACAGAATTTAGGCCTCATGAAATGGAGTCCTAAGGAGCTGATAGCGTAGTGGTTGAGAGTTGGGCTACTAATCTCAAGATCAGCAGTTCGAAACTACCCAGCCGTTCCATGGGAGAAAGATAAGACTTTCTGCTCCCATAAAGATTTATAGCCTCAGAAACCCTATGCAGGTTCGCTATGAGTCAGAACCGACTCCATGGCACACCACAAAGTGGAGTCCTGGTATGGTACTATAGGATAAATACTGAACTGTTCATTGTAAGGTTTGCAGTTCAAACCCACCAGCCACTCCTCAAAAACCCTATACAGGGTCTGATGAGTCAGAACTGGCCCAGTGGTACTTAACAACAACAAAGAAATGTCCCTTATTATTCTTTACCTCTGTTACCTTTGATGTTGGTTATTGGTCATAGAATATGAGTCAAAGTAGAAGGGACCTGTGACTTCTGTTCATGCTATGTAGTATGATTTGCAAAATTCATTGCAGGAACTGTCTTTGGAATTTGCCCTTAGGGCAAGTAAGAGGTCAAGTCTAAATAAGAGAGAGGACTTCACAGAGTTCATGGAAAAATAAAATTTAAAGATAATGGAAGTTTTTTCCATGAGTTATTTGAAGCATTTCTTACGTTTGTTGTTGTTGTTATGTGCCTTGGAGTCGATTCTGACTCATAGTGATCCTACACACAGGGTTTCCGAGAATGTAAAGCTTTACGGGAGCAGACCGCCTCATCTCTCCCACAGAACCACTGGTAGTTTCGAACTGCTGACTGTGCGGCTCACAGCCCGATTCGTAATCACTATGCTACCAGAGCTCCTTGTGTAGAAGCTGCTTATTTGCAACAAAGTCATTAGAAATAAATTCCTAAATTGTCACTAAACTGGGCCAGGCACTAAGGGGTGAGAGTATAAAAAAACAATACATTGACAGTTTTGTTCCCCAAGGGAACATATGCATATCAAATCCTGATACAAACTAGATGTTTGGGATATGAAAGAATAATTGAAAGGCTTAAAATTTTCTTGCCCCAGAATTTAAATACACATTTTCAGTCACCCTAACTTTAAAACAAATTGATCAGATGATACCAATTAGAATTATTTGAAATACCTCATTTCATTTGATAAAGTTTTATAAGTTGAATTGGTGTTCAATAACTTGAACTTTTTAATCATTGTGACTTTGACTCTTTACTCTTTTTGTTCACAGAAACCAAGATGACTACCAGCTGGTTCGAAAATTAGGCCGAGGTAAATACAGTGAAGTATTTGAAGCCATCAACATCACAAATAATGAAAAAGTTGTTGTGAAAATTCTCAAGGTGAGTGCAAAAAGAGAAATTATGGCTGTAGAGGTATTCATAATATAGGTTTTTAATGATTAATAATGATGTCTTAAAAATACATTTTAAAGGGGCTTGGTGCTCAGAGATTCCTTTGAGGTAAACAGAACAAAAGTATCTTATTTTGATCAGGAAACAGGCAAGAGAAATTATTTAACTCAAATCATACATCTAGATTGTGTCAAAGAATTTTTATCTGCCTAGAAATTTATATCTCTGTATGAATACTCCTGATGTTTAAATGCTGGCTTAAGATTTAAAAAAAAAAAAAAAAAAAAAGATTTCAGGAGCCATATTTGACCAGTGGCTAGCAGTCTGCAACTTGCAGTTTAGTATGATATTGCACAATATCATACATCAGGAACTTGGCACATGCTTCTTTGCCACGGGAACATTTTCATATTTGACAAAGACACAAAGTTAATATTTGCAGGAGCAGAAAGCTTCGTCTTTATCCTGCAGAGCAGCTGGTGGGCTCTGACTGCCAACCTTGTGGTTTGCAGTCAGTGCTTACCTTACAGCACCACCACATTCCCAATAGTGAGTGTAGTTCGGTAATGCAAGGAGTTCTAAGGATTTGTATCAACTTTATGACATGGAGAAAGAGAACTAAGCTGCCGGTAAAGTTTGGGATTCTAACTCAAATTCTAAATAAAAATAATTAGCCATAGTAGTCTTTTGTAACTTTTTAACAGATGTTTCTTCATCTGAAAATAATCATCTTTCTTTATTATCTGAGGGTTCTTATGAAGATCAAATACAAAATTGCATATAGAAATGTGTTTTGAAGATTGAAACTTTGTGATTGTTGGATGGTATTCCTTAGGAAAGGTACATAAAGAGGAGGAGGAAGTAAGAGATGTTTCATGTGGATGCACAGGAGGTGAAGTTGGAAAGGGAGATTAGATTGGTGACTCCAGAGAAAGAACCTTGGCATCTCCTTCTGGCTTCCTTTCTAGGTAGTTGGGTGCCATTGATGGTATTGAGCGGAGGCTTAATTTATAACAGTTTTTTGTTTTTGTTTTTGTGTTCTTCCAGCTCTGTCTTTCCTTAACAATACTGTGTATGATATGAACCCTGCAAACCAAAAGGTGGTGTGGTTTAATCCCACCAGCCACTTTGTGGGAGCAGGATGTAGCGATTTACTTTCATAAAGGTTTATAACCTTAGAAACCCTGTGGTGCAGTTCTGCCTTGTCTTATCCAGTACTTATGAGTTAGAATTAATTTGGCAGTGGATTATTTGGTTTTTAGATAGATAGATAATGGTATAACTGTAAACCTAAACCTTTTAGTAAGCAGCCTGTGCCACCCATGCTTTACATGCTATAGCCGTGTTGTAATTTTTGTTAAGTGCCATGGAGTTAGTTCCAACTTATGTGGACCCTGTACAGGGTCATTTTTCTTCCACGGAGCTACCTGATGGGTTCGAACCTCTGCCCTGTGGTTCGCAGTCCAGTGCTTATCCTATGGAACCACCCTCTACTCATGGTATAACTAGAGGAAATTTATTCATACATAAACCATAGTTTGAAATTTACATCTCCCCTTCTATTTATTTAATCAGAAAAGATTTGTCTTGGTCACATTAGGGTTTTAATTGTATCCCTGGTCTGTCATGAACCAACTTGTTAAATTTATATATTTTAATGATTCTGTAAATTAAGTTTTGGTAACCAGTAGCTTATACCATAGGTCAGCAATTGAAGCACTGTGATTTAATAAAAACTAGGAGACGGATGCATGGGTTAGCCTGTAGAAGATGTGAGGATCTCCCAGATGCTCTGATGTTGTGAGCCAGTGAGCTGTTTTTGGCTCATATGGACCCTCTAGAACAAAATAGATAATACCTCCTTATGGAAGCAGACTACATATCACACCTTTCTCCCGTGGAGTGACTGAAGGATTTGAACAACTGACTTTTTGGTTATTAGCTGAGTGCTTAACCTCTGTGACACCAGGGTTCCTTTCCTAAGTCACTCTAACAGTCATAAAGATCTAAATGGTTGCAGCAAGAAACTGATCAACTTTTGTTTCCCAGCCAATCAATCTCCTATTAGAAGTAAATAGGTCCAAAAAATTAAAAGTCTTTGCCTGGATGTTGTTGTGAAGTGCTGTTAAGTCGGTTCTGACCCATAGTGACCCTGTATAGGGTTTCCTAGGAGCAGCTGGTGAGCTTGAACTGCCTACCTTGCAGTTCAGACGGCTTTGCAGTCTGGCGCATTAGCCCACAGCGGCACACCAGGACTCCTTTCTATTATTCCTCTTATGGTGCTTTCCAGGCCATCATCTCCATGCCACCTGCCATTTGGATGACCTTTCTAATCCAAACCTCTGATACCTAGTTAAAATCTTTCATGACTTGACATCACATACAGATATAATTCCAACATCTTAGTATAGTATACAAGGATCTTTAAAAGTTCTTGGGAAAAGTTGAATTTAAAGGTAATTTGAACTTTCCTATAATTTTTTTTTTGAAACCCCATAATATATGTTATATGATGCTGACCTGCTTCTTCAGCCATGTCTTTTTTCATTCTTTGACACTTTAGTCCTGTCACCCATTTGTAATTTTACAGACCATTCCAGTGCTGGTCCGTCTCTATGGAAGGCCATTGGCTCTTTTTCCCCTTTGTCAATGTAAAGAACTCCCACTCATCTCATAGAGATTTCATCAGGACCCTTTATGTATAATGTTGCTTCTCTGTGTAGCCACCGCACCTTACCTTACTTAGAACTCAGAACTATCTGTTTTAATTTTATGCTTATTTGTCTGCCTCAGTGTACTGGGTACTTCTTGGAGCAGAGAACTGTATTTTATTCTCCCAGTACTTAGCACAAAACAGCCCAGTAGGGAGTCACTTGGGTTTGTTTCCTAAATAAAGTAAAAGATCATTTCAGTTTATTTGAGGAATAACATTTTAAGCTCTGGTGGGTGCATATTTCACATATGCTTTTGAGCTTTATAGAAGTCGGTTAAGTAGTGAATATACAAATAATAAAATGTGAACTGTGGAGTCCTGGTGTGGTTCTTGCTCTAGGATAAGCACCGGACCACAAGGCTGATTTGAACCACAGAGTCGGCAGTTCAAACTCACCAGCCACTCACCTGCCACAGGGCACTGTCAGTCTGAACTGACTCAACAGCACTTGTGCAGCAACAAATGTGCGAGTAACTTCCATTTTCTGAGTTTGTTTGTACTTTGCATTAGGCCTTGTAATAAGTATGATACACAACTTTGTAAGGGAAGTCTAGTCCTTTTTCAGCTTTAATTAAAAAAATGAAGTTCAAAACATTGTTCTTCTTTCTTTTCTCCAAAGCTGCATAGTTGCAAAGCCAGTTTTTGTGGACTGATTTTAAAGCCAGCTCTGACATATAGCAGAACGGCATTCAGGAATTGTGTGTATTCGTATACTCCTTTGGAGGTTCTCTGGAATTAAAAGAATTTACAGTATTATTTGGTAGTTCCTAACCAATCTGGGAAATATTTAAAAATAGATTTTCAGTTCCATTCTCAATATTCTGACTCAGTGAATCTAGGTGGTTGTTGTTAAGTACTACCGTGGAGTCAGTTCCTACTCATAGTGACCCTGTGCAGGGTTTCTGAGGCAGCAAATCTTTATGGGAGCAGAAAGCCTTATCTTTCTCCCTTGGAATAGCTGGTAGTTTCAAACTGCCAACCTTGAGGTTAGCAGCCCGATTCATAACCACTACGCCACCAGAGCTCCTTCAGTGAATCTAGGTAGGTCCTTGGAATCTGTGTTAAAAATCCAGGTGATTATTGATCATCAAAGTGTAGCATCCACCAGTCTCTCTTTAATGAAGCAAATGAAGTATACTTAAAATATTTTCTAATAATTGATTATGAGGTATGAAAAAACATCCTAAGAATTCAGAAAAGGAAACGAGCATATGTAAGAGCTATGTGCTCCAGGATAGCATCTACAGGCCACGTGTGACTGTTGAGCACTTGAAATGAGCCTGGTCCTAGTTGAAATGTACCTGGTTTCAAAGACTTAGTACAAGGAAAGAATGTAAATAAAATAGCCCTTCATACATTTTAAGTGCATTACAATCCATTCTGACTGATAGAGACCCTGTATAGAGTTTCCAAGGAATGATTAGTGAGCTTTGAACCACTGACCTTGCAGCCGAGCACTTTTATCCTAATATTAAATTAATTCTGTTTCTTTTTACCTTTAACGTACCTACTGTTGCTGTTGTTAAGTGCCGTCAAGTTGATTCCAACTCACTGCAACCTTGCATACGGTTTTGTTGTTGTTGTTGTTAAGTGCCTTCGAGTCGGTTCTGACCCATAGCGACCCTGTACAGGGTTTCCGAGGGTGTAAATCTTTACGGGAGTAGAAAGCCTCATCTTTCTCCCGCGGAGCGGCTGGTAGTTTCGAACCGCTGACCTTATGGTTCGCAGCCCGATTCGTAACCACTACGCTACCAGAGCTCCTTACCAAGGAGTAATTGGTGAGTTTGAACCACCCCACATCGTGGTCCAAACCAACCTTGCAGTCCAGTGTTTATCATATAGCACCACACTAGAATATTTAAAATTACATATTTTTATTGAAGCAGCACTATTTTAGCCTATTCAGAAGGAAGGCTTTGTGAAAAAAGTACAGTTGGAGCAAGGCCTTCCTCAGAAGAATTAGATTTCTATACCAGTTACAAAAAGGATAGGTAAGGACAAAGAAATATGGAAGTCCTCTCAAGGACTGACAGACTAGTCTCTTTAAAGTGGAGGAATTTGTTAGTCACAGGCCTATTGGTGATAAGGCTAGACAGATAATGGCTGTTATGCCCAGCCATATTCTGAGGCCTTGATGTCTCAGTTGATTCGTGCAGCAGTCTTATGAGATAGGTTTTTCTTGTTAAGATGAAAGGTTTATAGAAGTTATATAACTTGTTCCTGGGCACAACTAGCATAAGGAAGGTTATTGTTACGTGCTGTCGAGTCGGTTCCGACCCATAGCGACCCTTTATAGGGCTTCTGAGGAGCAGCTGGTGAGCTTGAACCACTGACCTTGCATTTCAAACACCTTTGCAGTCTTAAGCTTTAACCCACAGCACCACACTTTTGCATTAAACCATGTGACTTCAGAGCCCACACTTTACCCACAAGGTTGTACTTAAGTGATTTGGCTGTCCTTGCAGTTGACCCTTGATTTCCAACTGAATTTAGAGATCATCTGAAGAACAGATTTGATACATTAAACACTAAAGACCGAAGACCAGAAGAGTTATGGAATGACACCAAAAACAACATACGTGAAGTAACCAGAACATCATTAAGACAAAAAAGAAGGAAAAGATCAAAATGGGTGTCAGAAGAGACACTGAAACTTGCTCTACAGCACAGAGATGCTAAAGCAAATGGAAGAAATGAGGAGGTACAAGAGCTGAACAAAAAATTTCAAAGGTCAACTCAAGAAGACAAAGTCAAAATATTACAACAAAATGTGCAAAAATCTGGGAATCAGAAAACCAAAAGGGAAGAACATGCTCAGCATTTCTCAAGCTGGGAAAACTGAAGAAAAAATTCAAGCCTCGACTTTGGTTATTGAAGGATTCTCTGGGTAAATTATTGAATGATGCTAAAAGCATCAAAAGAAGATGGAAGGAATAAGCAGAGTTAATGAAAGGGTTAATGTTCAACCATTTCAAGAGGCCGCATACAATCAAGAGCCAATGATACTGAAGGAAGAAGTCCAAGGTACATTGAAGGAATTGACAAAAAACAAGCCACCAGGAACTGATGGAATAAAAATTGAAATCTTTCAAGAAAGTGAGGTGGCACTGGAGGTACTCACTCATCTCTGCCAAGAAATTTGGAAGACAACTATCTGGCCGACTGATTGGTTTGTGCCCATACCAAAGAGAGGTGACCCAATGGAATGTGGAAATCATCAGACAATATCTTTGCTATCCCATGCAAGTAAAGTTTTACTAAAGCTAATATAGAAATGGCTGCAAGCATACATTGACAGAGAACTTTCAGAGGTTCAAGCTGGATTCTCAGAAGAGGCCGTGAAACAAGGGATATCATTGCTAATGTCCGATGGATCTTGGCTGAAAGCAGAGACTATCAGAAAGATGTTTATCTTTGTTTTATTGACTACACAAAGACTTCTGATTATGTGGATCATGACAAGCTATGGAGGAGAATGAGTACTTTATTGACTATGCAAATGCTTTCGGTTGTGTGGATCTTGACAAGCTATGGATAACATTGGGAAGTATGAGTATTCTGGAACACTTAATTGTGCTCATAAGGAATCTGTACATGGATCTAGAGGCAGTTGTTTGAACAGAACATGGGAACACGGAATGGTTTAAAATTAAGAAAGATGTGCAACAGGGTTGTTTTCTTTCACCATACTTATTCAACCTGTATGCTGAGCAAATAATCCTTACCAGTGGAGAAAAGATTGAAGTTGTCAAGGGCTTCATTCTTCTTGGATCAACTATCCACAGCCATGGAAGCAGCAGTCAAGAAATCAAACAACGTATTGCATTAGGCAAATCTGCTCACAAGACTTTTTTGAAGTGTTGAAGAGCAAAGATGTCAACTTGAGGACTAAGGTGTCCCTGACCCAAGCCATGGTATTTGCAATAACCTCATATGCATGTGAAAGTTGGACAGTGAATAAGGAAGACCATAAAAGCATTGATGCTTTTGATTTACGGTGTTAGCGGAGAATATTGCAAGTGTCATGGGCTGCCAAAAGAACAAACAGATTTGTGCTAGAAGGAGTGCAGCCAGAGTGCTCCTTGGAGACCAGGATAGCCAAACTTTGTCTCTCATACTTCAGACATATTGTCAGGAGGGACCAGTCGCTGGAGAAGGATATCATGTTTGGTAAGGTGGCGGCTCAGAGAAAAAGATGAAGACCCCCAGCGAGATGGATTGACTGGCAAAGTGGCAGCATCGATGGGCTTAAGCATGGCAACAATTGTGAGGTTGGCCCAGGACCGTGCAGTGTTTCCTTCTGTTATGCATAGGGTCATTATGAGTTGGTACCAACTCGATGGCACCTAACAACAATAGGGTATTTTTAGAGTTAGAGAAAGGGATGAAAAGTAGCTATGTTTCCTCGAAAGTGACAAGTTTTGCAGGATTCCTTAGCACTACTAACCATTTAAATTGCTACCTTGGAAAATTTTTTTAAAGTTAAGCATATTCAAGTTTTATTATTGAGATTAAATGCTAATTCCATAGAGGTCTAGTTTTTGGAATGAAAAAAAATTTTTTTTCTTTCATTTGAATGTTTGCTAAGTACCTGCAGAGTGTCTGACACATTTCCTTCCTTCAAGGTCCTCCTAAGTAAGCCATTTCTGTATTTCGTGCTTAAATAATCTGGATTTATTTTACTGATACATTTTTATCCTTTTAGCCAGTAAAGAAGAAGAAAATCAAGCGTGAAATAAAGATTTTGGAGAATTTGCGAGGCGGTCCCAACATCATCACACTGGCAGACATTGTCAAAGACCCTGTGGTGAGTAGTGTGTTGGCAGGCAAGGCTCACCATGGCTGAAGTAGTGTTTGACCCAGAGCACAGCTGGTGTCTCTCTGCCCTTAAATCCTTCATTAAAATGTGTGATCAGATCTACCATTTAACTCACTTAATTCTTTCCCAAAGAGTCTTTCACCCACAGACTAGTTCTTACTCTTCTAGGTGAAGAGACTGGAAACAGAAATGTGCTAGTGCATTTTGCAAACTCAGGTATAATGCTGATGGGTAATGGGTGCATTGTCAGGCTACCTAGGGTTTGGGGAGACTTCAGTACCGTGTCTTCTGTTTGAAATCCACCCCCAAAGTGACCTAAATGGTGATCAAAGTGGGAAAGCCTTGTAGCAATAGAAGGTTTCCCACTACTAAGAATAGGACAGATTCACCACACAGAATCTGCAGACATTATGTCCACTAAACCCACCAGGCCTGTTGCTAATTTTTGCTTTCTTTTTCTTTTTCATAGTCACGAACCCCTGCCTTGGTTTTTGAACATGTAAACAACACAGACTTCAAGGTATAATATATAAACAATTATTCCAGTTGTTGGTTTTTATACCACCTAGAGAGCCTGTATGAGGGATGATAATACTATTAGGTGAACTTATAGCTTATTAAGTTTTTCGTCCTTACAGTGCCTAATTTTGACGACGTGTATCAACAAAAAACATCAGTTTTTGTTAACAATTCAGTAGATTCCAACTCAAAGCCACCCTGTATAGGGGTTCCAAGGGGCATTTGTTGAGTTTGAACCATTAACCTGTGGTTCACAGTCCAGTGCTGATCCTACAGCAACATACCAGAACTACCTATATCAGCAGTGCCCATTTTTCACATATTGGTGGTGGTGGTAGTGGTGTTACATGATATTGAGTCAATCCCAATTCATAGCAACCCTGTATAGAGTTTTCTAGGCTATAAATCTTTGCAGAAGAAGAAAGCCTCATCTTTATCCTGCAGAGCAGCTGGTGGGCTAGATAGAGTCATCAAACTTGTGGTTCACAGTCCAGTGCTTAACCTATGGAGCCACCACGCTCCCTACATCTTAGTATGCAGTTGTTGTTGTTAATTGTCTTTGAGTCAATTCTGGCTCACAGGAACCCTGTGTAGGGTTTCTGAGGAGTTGCTGCTGGGTCTGAACTGTCAACATGTGGATCACAGCCCAGTGCTGATCCTACAATGCCACACGAGGATTCTACATCTTAGTCTGTTGCCCTTTTATTTGTTTGGTGTAGGGTCTGGCCTTATTACATTCTACTTTAAAACAATAGTATTCAAGAATGTATGCATTTTGTATGTTAATTGCAGGGATCTAAGAAACTGAATCCTTGTATGGCACTGTCATATAAGAACTGGACTGCTGACTGCAAGGTCAGTGGTTTAAACTCACCTGCCACTCCTCGGAAACCCTATGTTGTTGTTGTTAAGTGCCATTGAGTCAGTTCTGACCCATAGTGACCATGTATAGGGTTTCCAAGGAGAAGCTGGTAAGCTTGAACCACTGACTTTGCAGTTCAAACAACTTGGCAGTCTGACACATTAGCCCACAGCGCCACACCAGGACTCCTTGGAAACCCTATACACGGTTGTTATTAGTCAGAACTGACTTGGGTGACACTTAACAGCAATAACAAAGAAACTGGTCTATAGACGTTAAAAAAGAGGGCAAGGTATTATCAAATTCTACTATAACACAAACCTGTAGAACAGTTGTATCTGAATCCTAGCCTATCCTTTCGACTGCCTGACTTCAAACAGTTCTTAATTACACAGTAGGAAGAAGGGTAGACAATCTCTTACTGTACAGGTTATAAAGGTATTTGACCTACCTTTGCACCAATGCAGTCCAAGAATGCTGAAAGTGTCAATAAATGGATGAATTATTGGTGTTGTTCGGCCCATAATGACCCTGTATAGGGTTTCCAAGGAGCAGCTGGTGAGCTTGAACCACCAACCTTGCAGTTCACACTGACTTTGCAGTCCAATGCATTAACTCACAGCACCACACCAGGCATGGGATGTTAAGGGGGGAGAAAAAAGGAAAGAATTGTTACCAGAAGGATAATTTCAGGAAAAGCTTTGTCAAGAAAACCACTAACCATTTAAAAATAGGTACATGTTGAAAAAACAAAAGGAACTTTATAACATGAAGCCTTTAGAACCTGAAAAGTGAACTAAATTGCAAATATGTATCAATTCATATTGCCTATATGAGTTGGCATGTTCCCAACAGTGAATTACAGTGTTAGCAATAAGTGTTTTAATAGTTCTTCATTTTTATACATAAAGACCCAAAGTATCCCTTTGAAGTAAATGTTATAGTGGAGGAAGTAGAGACCAGTTAACCGACAGATTTTGGAACAAGATGAGTCAGGTCTTGGTTTGAATTTGTACAAATGAGGGTTAGAAATGGCCTTCCTGTCAACATTATTTTATGATTCAAATGTTACATTTGTCTTTAACAGCAGTTGTACCAGACGTTAACAGACTATGATATTCGATTTTACATGTATGAGATTCTGAAGGTAAGGGAATTCTGGAAACTGTAGATTCAGATAATTTATTTTGTAAAGTATATTAATAAGTTAATAGCATAAAACCCTTTGTGCTAATAATGTAAGGTTATGGAATGTTGTTATTAAGTTCCTTCCAGTCGGTTCCAACTCATAGCAACCCTGTGTAGGGTTTCACAGGAGCAGCTTGTAAGCTTGAAATGTTGACCTTTCAGTTCAAACTGACCTCATAATCCAGTGCATTAACCCACAGCACCAGTAAAGTCTAATAGTATAATTTAGAATGTATCTTAAGGGGTGTTTAGAAAAGACTAGAACCCTTTTATAAAAATTTATAACCCCACTCATGCCCCCTAAGTAAGTTACAATTCTTAAAACTTGTAAAACCAACTCCTGATGCATTGGCTTCTTGTGTACTTTATTTCATTTATGATTTAACAAGCAAAATGGTAACATTTTAAGAATTATAGAGGATTCTCAAAGAATCCTGGTTCTAAGCATTATATGAATCTCTTTTTAGAGATCGCTTTTGAAAGTCGATTTTGATTTCTAGAGTGGAGTTATCAAATACATTACCTCCAGATAGTCAAAAGGTTAAATTTGTAGATGAGAGAATTCGTAAGGCTTGGCTAAGAAGTCTTACTGAGGATTACCATGAAGCCTGTTGTTTGAGACTTAGAAGCACTCTAGAGATTGTGCTAACAGAGATACTTGATCTTTCCATTGGCTCGTACAGTCTTGAGGAAAGCAGTACTTCAGAAAATTATGGCTATATTTGCCTAACCATGTAAACCGTAGGAACCCAAGTTGCCCTTCAGGAAGGACAAGAACTTGAACAACTAAATCAGCTGGCTAAAAGCCCAGGATTAGTAAAGGTTGTTCCACTTAGTTCGCCTTAGTTTGAGGTTGGAAACTGTAAATCCGAGGTTGGAAAACTTTATTTTAAAGAGCCAAGTAGTAGTTTTCGGGTTTTTGGGCCATAGGCTCTTTGTCGTACTATTTAAATCTACTGTAATAGCAGCAATAGACAGTAAGCAAACGAATAGTAATGCCGTGTACAATGAAACATTCACAGAAACGGTCAGCAGGTCAGATCTGGCCTGTGAGCTGAAGTTTGCCTGCCTATGTTGTATGTAGGCCATTAAATAATTTTTATTCTTTGAATAAAGCAGTCTTTGGTACAGAGCAATTTTCTTCCTTTAAGGATCCTGTGTTTGTGAAGGCAATTGAGGGTTTTGGGTGAGAGAGAAAAACTGAAAGGACACAATTGGTGTTTGCTTTTGGTCCTTTAAGGATATTACAGCAGGTCTGTCAAGAACAGACTTGAACTCAGAGACCTGAATTTGCTTGATTATGGCCTATTGGGCAAGCCTCTGTCCTAACCTTGACTCCCATTTACATAGAAGAAAAAGCAAACAAAGGATTTTAACTGGAAATATGTACTCTAAATGCAAGTCAACACTTTCTTACCTCTTCCTTTCACAGGCCCTGGATTATTGTCACAGCATGGGAATTATGCACAGAGACGTGAAGCCCCATAATGTCATGATTGACCATGAGCACAGAAAGGTAAAGTGATAGATCATTTATCTGCATGATGGAGTTTGACAGCTCATCTTCAACACTTTATCCCCACTACCTGTCACAGTCGTACTAGGCACTTGGTACATAGTCAATGAGTAAATGAGCTAATAACATCAGCATATTTAAGTCATATTCCTATTCCTTTGAATACTTGGAGAGGAAGACGGATTAGTATAGCGGGAAAAGCATTAACCTTAAAAGTGTTAACTTTGAGTCTTACATATTGAATAACTGGTTTCTTGGAAAACTCTCTTCCTCATTTGCTTCCCGTTCCTTAACTGTACAATAGGTAAAATATTTGCCCTGCGTATGTCACTAGAATGCCAGAATTGTGCAGAGTTGTGAAGTGGGTAAAACATTCAGAAAGTACTGCTTGCTATTAACAAGCAACATGAGACTGTTGACCTCTATAAATGCTTTTACATAAGCTGCACTGACTATGTGCTTTTCAGTTTTTTTAATTGATCAAGTGCACGTGTCTTTTGTACACAGTGACATCTCTATCTGTCGGCTTTGGGGACTTAGGTGATTTTTTTCATTCAACTCATTTTCTGGACACATACTATAATTGAACAAAATACAAAAATGCTTATAAATCAGGAATGGGGAAGAGTAGTGAGTATTAAAATTTCAAGCAGGATGATCAGGGAAGCTTGCCTTGAGAGAACACTTGAAGAGACTCATCATCCAGTCATGTACTCAAAAGAAGAACTGTGTCCCAGTGAGGGGAGGGTGGGGGGCAAGCAAGTACAAAGACCCTGAGGCAAAAATGTTCCAGCAGTGTTGAAGAGTGTTAGGGGTGTTTCAGAAGAAATAAAGAGGACCAAATCATTTAAGATCTAATAGATGATTGTCTGGCTTTGTCTCTGAAAATGGTGAGTGACTGCAGGGTTGGCATGATCTCACTCGCATTTAAAAGAACCAATTCAGGTTCATTACACATCTAGAACAGCTAAAATTTAAACAACAAAAACAGTGTTACTATCAAATACTGGTAAGAAAACTTAATTTTATGCATTATAAATGGGAATGTAAAATGATAAATAGTTTGACAGTTTTGGTTTTTTTTTTGAAACTAAACATGCCTACCACACAGCACTGCAGGTGCACACCTAAGCATTTAGCTTAGAGAAGTGAAAACTTAGCATCGACAAAAAACCTATCCAAGAATATTCAGCTTGATTTGTGATAACTCAAAATTGGGGAGAAACCCAGATGTGTTTAAGCTGGTACTTCCCTACTTTATGGTTTTATTACTGGGGAGTATTACTTAGCAACAGAAAGGAAAGCATTATGATACATACAATAACTTCATTGGATCTTATACTAAATCAAAAAGGGCAGTCTCAAGTTTACATAGTGATGGTGGTGATGGTGGTTGTGTACTGTGGAGTTGGTTCCAATTCACAGCAAAAAACTATAATAAAACATTTGCCATTTTGACCGTTTTTATTATATCCTTCAGTGACATTAGTAATCATCATGTTATTAATGTCACTGAAGAATCATCATGGCCGTTACTCTAAACAAACTCAGTAATCGTCAAGCAGTAGCTCCTCATTTCCCTCTGCTCTTCCCCAAACTTTGATATCCACTCTCTCTGTCTCTCTGGGTTTGCCAGTTTGATAGTTTGTTTAAGTGAAATCATGCAAAGCTTGTCTTTTTGTGTCTGACTTACTCAGGGATATACTCCATAATGTTTATCCACTCAACTAGCTTTGCTTTCCTTTTGGTGATTGTGAATAATTGAAATTTAGTTTTAATATTTCTGTTAGATGATTATGGAACGATGGTAAGTACGTATTTGTAGAGATCTGATATGAGTGTAGGTGAGAATCGCTGAGCTATATTGTGCTTAAAGCTGGAAGACCAGAAATAGTAATCTGGGAATACTTGGTAATAGAAAGGAGGCTCCGAGATGGAGTCCTGGAGCACTCTTCATACCTTTTGCTAGATATTCTTTTGTTTACTTAAACAAGGAAGACACTGTCCCTAGTAAACAGTGAACTGTAGAGGTTCTGTTGGTACTGGAGCAGTCACATTATTCCTGTTGCTTTGCACATTGGCTACATCAGTTCTGTTTCCACTTTCAGGATACATTCTGGTTTAAAGCTGTTTTGTGTGGTTTTTTTCTAGTACTTCATTCTGCTGCATTATGTTGAATTCTGAAAATTACAAAGGTGAATACAAAAGGCATTTTGGGTGTATACAGTCAGTCTCAGGGTTGTGAAGGAGTTCCATTCTTAAGTCTGTCTAAAGTTGAATTCGTATGTAAGTCAGAACACTTACGTACGGTTCATCTCTAATGGCAGTTAACCAAATATATGTCTTAGTATATATAGTGTACCTTTCTATGCATTAAAAAATTTAATACTTCCAGATATACTAAAGCATCTTTAACATCGTAACAACGTAATAATAATAAACGTTTGATGAGCACCCAATTGTCGTTATTATTAGCCATAATATGTACCTCAAAATTTTAACATAGCAGTTTTACAGAGCTGTTCACATAATTATGGGTTGTGTGTAAATTGGACTTTTGTAACCAGGAGACTCTCTGTATACAATAAAGAATTGTAGGGCTTTATTGAAGAAACATACCTAAGTTTCAAGAGGCTGAAGGTATGCTTAGCTCTTGGATGATTACAAACGGTTTCATTGAGAAACTAATGTGATTTCTCAGGTGTGCTTTTTGTCAGTAAGGTACAGGAATACATGAGCTGGCATGTGGTCTTGTTACTGACCACGTTGGTCACCGATAAGGGGAAGTAGGGAAAAACAGCAGTGAAGTTGTAAGCTAAGTCTGACCGCATTCAATAGACTCTTTACTAACCTGGATTGAGACCTGGTTGGCCAGTAGAATGACGAAACCTGAGGACTCTTGGGCCCAGCGACAAAGACATGGCCCCAGAGGACTAGAGCAGAGTGTGAAGCATCCAGCTGATGTGAAGTGAGGGGAGATGCACAAGAATACCCATACTTGCAGATAGTTCCCACTTGACCTGACTTCAGTGGCTGGATGATCAGAATTCGACAAGAGGAAGAAAGAAGAGGGGGCAAAAAAAAGAGTAATCTACAATTTGATAGGTTGACCTATGCTTGTGGATGCAGTAGGTCAAAGGAGGGAACAAATCTTTACAGTGAGGATCATTCCCTCCCACCCCCTTGGTACACAGGGTTGACAGGGATGGGCAAGTTAAACATTGGCTAACTAAAAAAGCGGGGGGGAGGGGGGGGGATGGCTACAAAAGCAAGAAGTGACTGGCTTACAAGCTTTCAATAGGGAAGCTAGTTCCAGATGATACAGGGAAAGGTAGAATCTCCACTGAGTGGTTTCCAACTTGTCTGGACCGGGCTGAGGAAAGGAGATGGGGATAGATTCTTGTGGTTCAATAGTGAGTAATTGCTATCAGAACTGACTGTGAGTATTAGAAATGTAAAAGTAGATGTTTTGTAACAAAAGGAAGGGAATGGTTGATTTTGCAGTCCAGGAGCATAGGTCCCTGGAACCATCAGGTGAGAAAAGCGGAGTGCAGGACCCTACCCAGAGAAGCAATGACACCAGAGATGGAGGCAGAGTTGGAGCAGCTGGGGACTCTAGACTCAGGGAGCGAGAACGGCTGTGTGCTGACGGCCTGGGGCCAGGCTTGTGGGGTGTACCCTTTGACTGTTTGATGCATGCAGGGGATTGTAATCATAGCAATGAAAAGAAATAAGATAGGGTGAATGTAAAGCTAATGTTCTTCTATGTAAACTATCACATAAAATACACAATAAAAACTTGAAAAATAAAAAGAGTATACAGGATAGTGAACATAAGCTAGTACATGAGCAGTTTAAGAAATTACCACAAGTACAAATTGAGTATCTTTCAAGAACTGTCTTACTAGAACACAGGAACTAGATCATGAAGAGCTCTGTATGCCAAGCTGTTTTATTTTTATCCTAAAGGCAATAAGGGAGCTGCTGGAGGAGTTTCTGTAGAGTGACATATGGCTGGTCTTGTTTTAAAACTACTTTACTAGCAGTGTGATAGGTAGCATAAATGAAAGTAAAATTGCTCATTATTTATTTCCTGTTTTTTTCCTTTTAGCTACGACTAATAGATTGGGGTTTGGCTGAGTTTTACCATCCTGGTCAAGAATATAATGTCCGAGTTGCTTCTCGGTATTTCAAAGGTCCTGAGCTCCTTGTAGACTATCAGGTGAGAGAAGAGAAGGCACAATTTTGGTCACTTGATTATGTTGCAGTAAGTGAAATTATATTGTGAAATAACGTCATTTTGTATGAGTAAGCCATTTATGTATGTCCACGGCATTCTCTTTTATTTTATATAACGTCATTCTAGTTTGAGAGTGTGACCAAGGTTTGACTATAAAGACCTCTCCCTTCTCACTCACAAAACAATAAAAAGAAAAAAATTAATATCAGTTTATCTAGCATACAAGATTTGCCAAATGTTTTAAAAATCTTTGGCACAGTGCATTTCGTGACCCAGGCATGATAAAAATCCATGTAATGTTAATCAGGTGCTTTAAAAAGTTTCACTCTTTGACCTAAAAGTTCCTTTTCTGGAATGTTAAACGTAGAACCCTGAGCTCAAAACATATTTTATGCACAAAAATATTCTTTCAAACACTGTAATAGTGAAACTAGATGGTGCTTGGCTACCAATACCAACTTCTCTGAAAGGAATTACATTAGAAAGGTCCTAAATAGCGAGGGAGAAAATGTGGACAAAACTCAAAATTGTTAAAAAGACCAGGCTTATTGGTCGTAGAGAGACTGGTGGCACCCCCAAGACTGTAGCCCTTAGTTTCCCTTCAGGCCTGGAACTGAACCCACGCCTCCGACTCAATTTTCAGCCAAACAATAGATCATTCTATAAGGTAAACAATAACACTAGGGACGACATATGCACTCCTTAGATTAGTCAACCATTTGCCAAGGAACAGAATTCAGAAGGCAGGCAGGATTAGGAAAAAGGAGGAATGGAGCCAAGAAACGGGGAGACAGTGGGCTAAGTGATGCTATTATGTGGGATTGCAATCAGTGACATAAAACAAAATATGTATGAATTACTGAATGCTCTGTAAACCTTTACCCAGTTAAAAGAAAAATGCGGGGGAAATTCATAGAAGTGTTTGCTGTTATGTGTGTAGTTTTATTTTTTATTAACAAAAAGCAACTGTATTTTGAAACGATAAGCCTGGGGATTCATGTGTAATAACAGTTTTCTTTATTATGCAGATGTATGATTACAGTTTGGATATGTGGAGTTTGGGTTGTATGCTGGCAAGTATGATCTTCCGAAAGGAGCCATTTTTCCATGGACATGACAATTATGATCAGGTGATATATGTTGTTCCCACTAGGGAACTTAATGGTCTAGTGACCTTCTGCCTCTTAGAAAACTTTCTGTGGGTCTTGCTGAAGTATAGATGCCCATTTCCCACCAAGACCTATTAATTCTCTAAGGGTGGAGCCCTAGAATAATTTTTTATTTTTTATTCACTACTTGTTCAGCAAACTTGATGTTGGTCCTTAACTTTCTGTTTTTGAGAGCTACCAGTTTAGCCTTTTAAAATCAGTCATTTTCCCCCAGTGCTGTTTGTTTGTATTTCTTATTTTATTGTGAAACGTACATGTAAAATATTTTATAAACATGTCTAATTCAAATGATGGAGTCCTGGTGTGGTGCTACAGGGTAAGTTCTGTACTGCTAACCACAAGATTGGTGATTCAAACCCACCAGCTGCTCCTTGGAAATCCTATACAGGATCGCCGTGAGTCAGAACTGACTCGATGACGTTTAGTAAAATGAACAACCATTTAATTATCATCCAGTTAAGTCACTTAAACACTACTTGTATATCTTCTGAAGCAAGCATTCATTCGAGTTGGTTTAAATGTGGTGTTTTCATGATCATTATGTCTTGGCCCCTTTGTACTGAATGAGATGGATACAGTAAACTTAAATTGAATGGTATTTTTTATACTGCCTCTATTTCCTCCTTGAAGATCAAGGCGCCATTTTGTTCGAGAGAACCTGGAATGATTCTTGGACCTGTGGAAGGCAAACACACACATCTATGACCATTTTTAATATGATTCTAAGAATACCACCTGGATTCTGTTTAAACCAATAATTTGATATTTGGTGTCATGCATGGTTAAAGGATAAAATAAAGAATAATCCTTAGCTCAGAGATCATTGTCAATCCAATAAAGAAAACAAAATAAAGCACACTAACATCTCACGGAGATGTGGTTAGGTTCCAAAGACCAGGTTATTATGTATAAATTGGCGTTTTGCTAAAATGGATAAGGATGGCCACATCAGATCATGAAATGAAGGATGAATACATAATTGCATAACTGACAAACTGCTGAGAATCATGGCTCACCCAAACCAAGGTGACACATGACCTTAAACATCAAAGACTTTACCAAGGAGACATTTCAAGGGAAAGGAATCAGATGATAAGCAAAGTTATGTTTAGCTTTTTATCATTTTCACATTAAGTTGAATTAGGAAATTTTATGGGAAACCCACTCCTGCCAGTCAGAGAAATTGGACGTAAACCCTGCTAGGAGATTATATTCTTACTGGTTGCTATGTAAGAATGTGTTAATTCAGCCACATTATGTGTTGAAGCAGTCAACAGCTTGGGGTGTATGGCTTTTTGTGTGTTTTTTCTCTTCCAGTTGGTGAGGATAGCCAAGGTTCTGGGGACAGAAGATTTATATGACTATATTGACAAATATAACATTGAGTTAGATCCACGTTTCAATGATATCTTGGGCAGGTAAGTCTAAAAGCAAAACGCATACATTTGTGACTTGAACATTTAGTGTGGAAACGGACACTTTGGATCTTAGAGAATTCAGTTCTTGTCAGAATTGCTCAAGTGTTGGGAACCTAGTGCCATAGTATGCTGCCTGAGCAGTACTGAGATACAGACATTGTTTTGTGTGATTCTATAACACCACTAATTCCAATGTCTTCAGTTTTATTGCTTCTCCAGTGGCTGAGTGGTATGATATTTGTTTCATCTGCTAGTAGCTGGGTCCTGTCCACTGTGGAAAATTGGGGAGGAATTTTCTGGCACCCTGCCCAGCCCGTATCTTACCTCTGTTCTTGGATTTGCAGACACTCACGCAAGCGGTGGGAACGCTTTGTCCACAGTGAGAACCAGCACCTTGTCAGTCCTGAGGCCTTGGATTTCCTGGACAAGTTACTGCGATATGACCACCAGTCACGGCTCACCGCCAGAGAGGCCATGGAACACCCCTATTTCTGTGAGTCCCACTGTCCAGTCCACAGAACCTGTGCAAATCCAGCACTCCTCCAGCACACTAGAAAACGGGAGAATATGTGCTGTGAAGAAACTGTAGGTTCAGAGTCTTATAGAAAACAGAACAGGGTTGGAATCTCATTACTCCCATTAGCTTTGTGATTTTCAGTAAATGTTACTTCCCGGCACTAAGCTTCATTTAAAATTTTGTTTATGTTGTTGTTAAGCAGGTACACAGTAAAACTTTGTACGTGTACAATTCAGTGGCATTACTTACACGATTCGTATTGTACAGCATCCTCACCTACTTTTCTGAGTTGGTCTTCTCTTGTTCGTATAAGCTCACTGCCCCCTAAGTTACCCATCTAACCTTTCCAGTTGTTGTCAATTTGATCCATATAGATCGTTCTTAAAAGAGCACAATGCTCAGCAGGGCAGACATTATTTTATTAGTTAAGGTAAATTGTTGATTGTTTTAAGAAGACTTCGGGAGTTAACTGTTTTATTCAGGGCAATAATTTCAGGGGTTCATCCACCCTCCATGGCTCCAGAAAATCTAGAGTCCATCATGAGAATTTGAAACTTGATTCTGCATTTTCATCCTTTTGATCAGTCAGCATTCTGTTAAGGAGTTTTTTATCAGAATGTTCAGTGATGATAGCTGGACACCACCCAACTCTTGTTGTCATTCAAAGAAGGGAATTTGTTTTGTTCATGGAGGGAATTGGCCACTCATGAACTCTCCTTGTTCTGTTATTCTGATCTTAAATAGAAACCTTGGAAAGCTGCTTTTAACAGTCCACCCCACCCTGAATATTTTCAGTCTGCAATTGGTTGAATCCATTGTTTCTGCATTTGTAGATACTTAGAGCATTAACTGGCTTTTGTTTGTTTTTATCTTAGCCTTTACAGCAGGAGTAATGATAGATAGCTCATTGTGATTTTCATTTGCATCTCCCTGATGACTAATGATGCTCAGCATCTTTTTATGTGTCTAGTGGCCATTTGAGTGACTTCTTTCTATTCAAGACCTTTGCCTATTTTGTGTTTGGGTTATGCTTGTTGTTGTCAAAGTATTGTATATATTTTGGTTATTAGTATTCTGCCTACTTGTCTGTGAGTTGGTCATACTGTGCTGCCTTGGGTGTTTATGTGATTCTGGAAGTTATACAATAAGTATTTTAAATACCAGCAGGGTCACCCACAGCAGACAGGTTTCAGATGAGCTACCAGACACAGACTAGGAAGAAGGAGCGATAGACTACTTCTGAACATACAGTCACTGAAAACCTTGTGAATAGCAATAGAACACTGTGAGCACCAGAATATTGTCAGGTATAGTGCCAGAAGATAAGCCCCTCATGTTGGAAGGCACTCATAATGTGACTGGGAAAGAGCTGCCTCCTCAAAGTAGAGCTGCCCATGTTGACGCGAATGAAATGAAAGCCCTGAGGACCTTCATTTGCTGATGGGGCACAACTCAAAAAGAAAGAGCTGTGAACTTCCTTTAATAATTAGAACATGGAATTCAACAAGACGTATAAATCTAGGAAAATGGAAAATTGTCAAGAATGAAACAAAACAAATAAACACCAATATCCTAGGCATTGGTGTGCTGAAATGGACTGGTAGTCGTATGGTTTACTATGCCAGGAATGAATTGAAGAGGAATGGTGTAGCATTTATCATCACAAAATCACAAAGGACATGAAGTACAAGGCTGTCTGTGATTGGCTAATGTCCATAAGCCTACAAGGAAGACCAGTTAGTAAATTATTATTCAAAATAACCCACCAACCACTAAAGCCAGTGATAATGAAATAGGAGACTTCTACCAACCTCTTCAGTCTGAAATTGAACAAACATGCGATCAAGATGTATTAGTAATTACTGGCAATTGGAATGCAAAGGTTAGAAACAAAGAGTAAGGATTAAATAATTGGAAAATATGGCTTTAGTGATAGAAACAATGCTGGAGATCACATGATAGAATTTTGCAAGACCAGTGACTTCTTCATTGCACATATCTTTTTCTTTTTGCCTTTCACTGCAGCACTTTCATTTCTCCTTAGACAAGGCCGTGTTGCTGGGGCCTAATGCACATGACAGTAGAAAAACCACAATTTGTTGTCATCTCAAGAGTTGAGAGTTGAGTACAAAAACAGTACATAAATTAAAAGGATGAATGAGTTTACAGGTTTAAATGCAAACCATCTTCCAACTCAAGGCAAGTAACAACCCCCGGGGTTCCAGCGGGAAAACATCAGCTAAGAAAGAAAACTGGTCCCAAGGCTCAGATTATTCCAACCCTGACAGGCTGCTTACTAACCCTGAAAGTGTGATCCTAGACCCATCAGGTTTTTCGTGTTAATACCCTGTACAGACTCGCCACAACTACGGACTTCTCCCCACCATGTCATCCCTTCACCTTGGCCACCAAGTGACTGATTCACATGCTCAAGGGGCTTAAATCAAAGATATGTACAGGTATTAAACATAGACCAAGGGAACAGGTAACTTGAATACAAGGTCAAGATCAGCAACAAGTCCTATGATCCAGTGCTACTGATAGCAAGATACAGCCTTCAAAGACAATTTCTTTTCAAAGGCTTCTTCCAGTTTCACGAGGCTAGCATGAGACATACAGGGTTGTGGGCAGACCTGCACTCAGGAATGAGCTCATGCCACAGATGGTGGCACCTGCTGGCTGTCCGTTTAGAAGCATTCGCGGTGGACGATGTAAGAGCCCGACTCATCATACACCTGCTTGCTGATCCACATCTGCTGGAAGGTGGACAGCGAGGCCAGGATGGAGCCACCGATCCAGACAGAGTACTTGCATTCAGGAGGAGAAATAATCTTGATCTTCATGGTGCTGGGCCCAAGTGCCATGATCTGCATCTGGTCAGCGATGCCTGGGTAAATGGTAGTCCCGTCTGGCAGCACCATATTGGCATACAGGTCCTTCCAGATGTCCACATCACACTTCATGGTGGAGTTGAAAGTGGTCTTGTGGATGCCACAGGACTCCATACCTAGAAGGAGGGCTGGAAGAGCACCTGGAGACACACCGGAAGTAAATGTTGCCTATGGTGATGACCTGGCCATTGGGCAGCTTGTTCGTAGCTTTTGTCTAGGGAGGACCATGACACAGCAGTGGCCATCTCCTGCTTGAAATTCAGGGTGACATAGCACAGCTTCTCCTTTATGTCACACACAATCTCCGCTGTCGGCCATGGTGGTGAAGCTGTAGCTGCACTCTGTCAGGGTCTTCATGAGGTAGTCGGTCAGGTCATGGCCCACCAGGTCCAGAGTTAGATAGCGTGCGGTAGGGCGTAGCCCTCGTAGATGGGCACGGGGTGCATGGCACCATCTCCAGAGTCCATAAAATGCTGGTGGTATGGCCCAAGACCTAGGACAGCACAGCCTGGATGGCCACATACATGGCGGGGGTGTTGAATGTCTCAAACATGATCTGGGTCATCTTCTCCCAGTTGGCCGTGGGATTCAGGGGCGCCTCGGTCAGCAGCATGGGGTGCTCCTCGGGGGGCTCTTCGTTGTAGAAGGTGTGGTACCAGATCTCTGTGTCGTCCCAGTTGGTGACAATGCCATGCTTGATGGAGTACTTGAGGGTCAGGCTGTCCCTCTTACTTTGTGCCTTGTTGCCCACGTAGCTGTCCTTCTGGCCCATGCCCACTGTGACACCCTAGTGTTGGGGGTGTCATCACCTACAAAGCCGGCTTTGCACATGCTGGAGCGTGGCAATATCTTCTTCCATGACGACCTGAGAAGCTGAATGGCGGCAGCTATTCTCAACGAGCACAAGCGGAGAGAAAGCCAAGGCGAGCTGGCGGTGAAGACTAAGAGCACACATAACTTTTTTAAACAACATAAAAGACAACTCTACATTTGAACCTCACCCAGTGGAAAACATAGAATAATAGAGATCATCTGAAGAACAGACTGCGGATCTAAGACCATAAGAATTGTGGGATGACAACAAAAAACAAAAAGACCAAAATGGATGTCAGAAGAGACTCTGAAACTTGCTCTCCAGTGTAAAGATGCTAATGCATATGGAAGAAGTGAGAAGGTATAAGAGCTGAACAGAAAATTTAAAAGGTCACCTCGAGAAGACAAATCCTACAATGAAATGTGCAAAGGCCTAAAATTAGCAAACCAATAGGGAAGAATATGTTCAGCATTTCTCAAGCTTGAGGGAACTGAAGAAAATTTCAAACCTAGACTTGTAATACTGAAAGAGTCTATGGGCAAATTATTGAACGATACAGAAAGCATCAAAAGAAGATGAAAGGAATACAGAGTCACTGTACCAAAATGAAATGGTCCATGTTCAGCCATTTCAAGAAGTAGCATATGATCAAGAGCCTCCTGAAGGAAGGAGGATACCAAAGTACACTGAAGGCATGGGCAAAGAACAAGGCGCATGGGGAATAGATAGAATACAAATGGAAATATTTTAACAAACTAGTGCAGCACTGGAGACGCTCTCAGTCATCTATGCCAAGAAATATGGAAGACAGCTACCTGGCCAACTGATTGGTTTGGTGTTGTGAAGTGCTGTAGAGTCAATTCCGACCTATAGCGAGCCTGTATAGGGTTTCCGACGAGCAGCTGGTGAGCTTGAGTCATTGACCTTGCAGTTCAAATGGCACAGCGCCACACCAGTAGACGTCTGTATTTCTGCCCATTACAAAGCGAGGTGACCCAACGGAATGCAGCAATCATTGGACAATGTCATTAATATTGCATAAAGTAAGGTTTTACTAAAGATACAGAAACAACTACAACCGTACGTTGCCAGAGAACTTCCAGAGGTTCAAGCTGGATTCAGAAGAGGACGTGGAATAAGGGATTATCACTGCTGATGTCTGATGGATCCTGGCTGAAAGCAGAGAATACCAGAAAGATGTTTATCTGTGCTTTATTGACTATGCAAAGGCTTTCAGTTATGTGGATCATGACAAGCTATGGACAACATTGCAAAGAATAAGTATTCCAGAATGTTTAATTGTGCTCTTGAGGAACCTGTATGTAGACCAAGAGGCAGTTATTTGAACAGAACAAGGGAGCACTGAATTGTTTAAAATGAGGAAAGGTGTGCGCCCTGCTTGTATTCTTTTACCATACTTACTCATTGTGCTGATCAAATAATCTAAGAAACTGGGCTATATGAAGAAAAAATATGTTATAAGGATTGGAGGAAAACTCATTAACAGTCTGCAATATGTAGCTGATATAACCTTGCTTGCTGAAAATCAAGAGGACTTAAAATACTTACTGATAAAGATCAAAGACCACAGCTTTCTGTATGGGTTGCATCTCAATGTAAACAAAACAAAAGTCCTCACCACAGGACCAATTAACAACATCCATATAAGTGGAGAAAAGATTGAAGCTGTTAAAGATTTCATTTTGCCTAGATCAACCATCAACACTCATTGAAGCAGCAGTCAAGAAATCAAATGACATATTGCATTGGGCAAATCTGTTGCAAAAGACCTCTTTGAAGTGTTGAAGAGCAAAGATGTCTGAGGACTAAAGTGTGCCTGATCCAAGCCATGGTAATTTCAGTAATCTCATATGCATGTGAAAGTTGGACAATGAATACAAAAGACCATAGAAGAATTGATTTCGTTTGAGTGTTGGAGGATAATATTGAACATGCTATGAACTGCCAAAAGAACTCATAGATTTGTGTTGGAAGAAGTACAGCCAGAGTGCTCCTTGGAGGCCAGGATAGCCAGACTTCTCTCATACTTCGGACATATTATCAGGGAGGGACCAGTCCCTGGAGAAAGGATATCATGTTTGGTAAAGTGGAGGTTCAGAGAAAAAGAGGAAAACCCCCAATGAGATGGATTGGCACAGGGACACCAGCAGTGGCCTCAGGCGTAGCAACGATTATGAGTATGGCACAGAACCGGACATTGTTTCATTCAGCTACACATAGGTCGCTATGAGTCAGTGTGCACTTGATTGCACTTAACAATTGACCCTGGATATAGAGTTTCTAAGCTACTCCCAATTAGTAGCTTTTCTTTCACTTTTTTTGTTAATGTCTTTTGATGAAAAAGTTTTTAGTTTTTGTATTTGTGCGTTTGTCTTTTATTGTTTGTACTTTTGTTAATGTCTTTTGATGAACAAGTTTTTTTGTTTTGTTTTTATTGTGAATTTTGTGATAGTTTACATGGGAGAACTTTACATTCATCCTATCGTATATCGTTTCATTGCCATGATTATAATCCCCTCTGTGCATCATCAAACAACCAAAGGGTATCTGTACCCTGCAAGCCTGCCCCTTGGTCGTCAGCACACTGCCCCTCTCCCTCTCTGGGTCTAGAGTCCCCAGCCATTCCATCTCTCACGTCATTGTCTTTGCCTCCATCGCTGGTGTCCCTGTTTCTCTGGGTAGGGTCCCGCTCTCCGCTTTTCTCCCTTGGTGGTACCAGGGACCTCCGCTCTTAGACTGCAAAATCAACCACTCCCTTCCTTTTGCTGCAAAATGTCTACCTCTTTAAGTCCTAGAAATAATAAGGAGTACAAATAAAATGCAAATGAAATTACTTAAAGTCCCAGACCATTAGTTTAAATTCTTCAAGGAAAACAGAACCTAACCTTTTATCTCTCTTGTAGACACAGTTGTGAAGGACCAGGCAAGGATGGGCTCATCTAGCATGCCGGGGGGCAGTACGCCTGTCAGCAGCGCCAATATGATGTCAGGTTAGTTCATTTGATAACTTTTCTTACAAATGTAGAAGTTAGTTAAAGTTTTCATCTCTGCCGTCTCTTTGCAGCCTAAATGAATATATATTTTTCCTGCCCTATTTTTCTGTTAAGAGCCTGTGTAGCTCTCTCTACCAGGTTTCAGGATACTTCTGACATCCGGTATCATAGGTGACACATACCTTGAATATGGGATATTTGACAGTCTTCTAGGTCAGAATCCCAGTGTCCCTAACTGAAAATTTCTTGCAGTGGGATTTGTAAGTTCCAGCAATCCTTGAAGTATAATTGATAACCCTTCTTCTCACCTTTTAGGGAGTCCTTCAGTGGCATTGTGGATTAATGCAATTCAACGGCACTTCACAACAACAATAGAAAAGTTGCATGGTCCTCAGAACCAAGATTAAGAAATTGGTGGTTCAGTTTGTTTATGTGGATGGTGGTGGTGATGGTTTGCCATCTAGTTGTTCCCTACTCATAGGAACCCTATATAGGGTTGCCGAGGCAATAAATCTTTACAGGAGCAGAAAGCCTCATCTTCCTCCCTCAAAGTGGCTGGTAGATTTGCACTTCTGACCTTTAGGTTAGTAGCCCAACACATAACCACTGTACTACTAGCACTCCTGTATACGAGGATAGTTCTTTGATGTTTATTTTCACAACTACAAAATTTCCTGGTGTACTTAGTAAGTTGCATTATGTGAGCTTGGTGTTTCATCATTATTAAATAATTTTGTGTTGTTAAGTGCCATCGAATCGGTTTTGGCCCATACCAACCCTGTATAGGGTTTCCAAGGAGCAGTTGGTAAGCTTGAGCCGCTGACCCTACAGCACCACACCAGGACTCCATAAATAATTTTATAGGGTACGTTTAAAGAACTAGAACTATCTTCTAGAATTTATACTCCAGATATCCTGGACTATGTGCAAAATGATGGATATTCAGGATTACTCATTGTATCTTTAATTGTACTAACAAAGCATTGAAAACCGCTGCCAACAGGGGATTAGTTAAATCTTTCATAGGACATTCAGTGGAATGCTGGAGCAGCCTGAAAGAATACACCCCCAAAATTAGACCGTAAGTTAGCTGACCAATAAGACAAGGGAGATTTTTCACTGTATTCTTTTCACTGAATCTTTTCAGTGAAAATTCAGTGATTTTTCACTGAATCTTTTGTGGTTTGGACCATGTGAACATATTGCCAATTAAAAATATATAACATTTAAAAAATTAAATAACTGAAACTATTCTTAATGGTATGATTAAGGATACTCAACAGTTAAATGTGGTAAGTAGAGAGGTGATGGTGGTGATTATGTGTCACCAAGTTGGTTCCTACTCATAGCCAGCCACCTGTGTAGGATTGTCGAGACTATAACTCTTTATGGGAGCAGAAAGCTGCATCTTTCGCCCTCCTAGTAGATTTAAACTACTGACCTTGCGGTTAGCAGCCCAATTGGTAATCAATTATGCTTCCAGGATTCCTTTTGAAAGGAGTTTTGGTTGTGTGCCATGGAGTTAGTTCCGACTCACAGAGACCCAGTATAGGGTTTTCAAGGCTATAAATCTTTACAGGAGCAGAAAGCCTCATCTTTCTCCCCCGGAACATCTGGTAGTTTCAAACTACTGACCTTGAGGTTCGCAGCCCAACTCATAACCACTATGCTACCAGAGATGCTTTCAAAACTCCAGTTTGGAGATAAAAAGGGATCCTTTCTCCACTAAAAATGTTAGTAATTATGAAAGCTGCCAGTAATGGCTCTTCCAAATGTGGCAACTTGGTATAAGAACATATGAACTTTGACTCCAGCCCTGTGCTTTTTAATGGGGTAATAACAAGCCACTTAGGGTGCTCTGGTAGCGTAGTGGGTTACACATTGGGCAGAAGTAGTTCAAATCTACCAGCTGCTCCATGGAAGAAAGATGATGCTTTCTGCTCCCATAAAGATTTACAGCCTTAGAAATTCTATACAGGATTGCTGTGAGTCAGAATAGACTGTACAGCACTTTACAAGAATCACAAGCCAAGACTAAGTGCTCAGTTGCAATGTGTGCCTAGTGGACTACCATGTTCTTGTTGTTAAGTACCATCAAGTCAGTTCTGACTCCTGGTGACCCTTTATAGGGTTTCCAAGGAGTGAGTTTGAATCACTGACCTTGTGGTTCAAACCAACCTTGCAGTCCATTGCTTTATCCCACAGCACCACCCCAGGACTCTGGACTACCATATTAGAAGGCACAAATTACAGGACAGTTCCATCACTAGAAAGTTCTGTTGGACAGCACTGCCCCATATCTCGCTTAGAATTCAACCTTGGATTTCGTTGCCTGTCTTCCTAAATTTCTTGGGTAACTGGTGTTTGTGAAGAGTGTGTGTGTGTGTGTGTGTGTGTTGAAATCTGGCTAGGGGGAATGTGGTCGGTGTTTCTAGCTCACTGTCTGCTCGTTTCTTTCAGGGATTTCTTCAGTGCCAACCCCTTCACCCCTTGGACCTCTGGCAGGATCACCAGTAATTGCTGCTGCCAACCCCCTTGGGATGCCTGTTCCAGCTGCCGCTGGCGCTCAGCAGTAATGGCCCCTTCTGTCTCCTGATACCTGAGCAGAGGTGGGGGAGTCTACCCCTCCCCTTGATGCAGCTTGCACCTGACAAGGAGGGGTGAAACACTTAAGAAGCACCGTGTCTGAACCGATGCTTGTGGATTTATAGTAGTTCGGTCATAAAAAAAAATTATAATAGGCTGACTTTTTTTTTTTTCTCTCTTTTTCTTTTTTTTTAAAACTTGGAACTTTCATAACTCAGGGGATTCCCTGAAAAATTACCTGCAGGTGGAATATTTCATGGACAAAATTTTTTTCTCCCCTTCCAAATTTGAGTTCCTCATCACTAAAGAACAAAGATGAACTAGCCTCAATCCTGGCTGCTGCGTTTGGGTGGAGAATTTTTTTCCTAGTCCCACCATTGCTCCCCCACCAGCCCACACTTTGGGGGTGTTTGTATCTCATGCTCTTTCTTCTCCAGAGATTACTAAAATGTAGCTTCTCTGAGGAGGCGGGAATGAAGGAGGCAGGAAGGAAAGGAGGAAGAGAGGACCCAATCTGTAAGGCACTGTACTGCTAGTCACTTATATTACTTGACCCCAGAAGTGCAAGAGTGGGGTTCCCTGGTGGATTGTGTGGAAACATGTCTTAGTTACATTAAGATGCTGAGAATCTACCCAGTGTACAGACAGGTCCTAAAACTTTTGTTCCGTATGAATCATGTCATATTTTCCTAACCCTAAACCCAACTCACTTATAATTTAGTTTCAAATTTTCAGATATTAATAATTTCCCTCTTAGGTTCTTTACTGTGGCCCCTTACCTTTCTTCTCCTAGCACACTGTGCTCTAGAGCTGGTAGGAGGGAAGGTAAAATCTTCATGTTTTCTTGGACTTGGAATTTGCTTACTTACCAAGCATGACTTCTTAATTTTTACAGAGGATCCAAACATTAGCTCTGTAGATTTCATGCTAGCAACTCTTCAAAGAGCTAAAGGGAGATGTGGCCACAGTAAGTTTCCTTTTTAAGCGTTCTACCTTCTTCCTCCTTTCTCCTTCCCTCACATATCATCCAGTGAGACAACTTGTAAATGTGATCTGAGAGGCAGGAGCAGAGCCACTATCTCCATTGAAGCTGAAATGGTAGATTTATAATTGTGGGAAACTAAACTATGACTTCCCTCCCACCCTTTGCTGTGTGTATATATATATAATACTTTGTCCTTCAGATGTGAAAGATCCAGTGTTGGAATTCTTTGATGTAAATAAACGTTTGGTTTTATTTATCAAGGTTAGATTTAAGTTCCCTGTGTAAAGGTCTCGCTGGGTGGGTGTCTCACGTTCACATCCGAGGGGCCTGTTGTAACCCTGTACTGTGGGGGCTTTCCAATGCCCATTTTTATATAACCCTCATTCAACCTATGGTACTGGGCAGAGCAGAGAGGCCTTAAAAAAGCGCCACAAGCCAAAGCGTCTCTGGGGATTAAGGATCCTTTGCCATAAAACTCATTTTGTGTCTCAGCAGTGCAGGGATTGGGGATGGAAAAGTTGCCAGTTTTTGTGTGTTTGTGTGTGTGTAAAGTGGATTTTCCACTGTAATCCAACCACCTAAGTTTATCAGGTGCTTCACTGAGGAAGCCTAGTTTTTTAAGCACAATAGCAAAACCATCAGCTCTGTATTTTCTCATATTATTTCATTACAGTAGCTGCTTGTGGGAACTCTTCCAACATATCTTAAGGCCTAAAGTCTTAGTTCCCCATTCTCCTATCTTTATAGATTCACAAGCCTTTCTCACCTGGGCATCATAAACAATTGTTTGGAGAGTTGAATTTAATGAACTTATCTAACTCTGTAACCTGTCTTGGCTTTAGTAACTTTATTGAGGGTGGTGGTGGCTTTAGCGAATATAAATGGCAGACTTTAAAGGAAATGGAAACTCCTTTTAAAGCGCCTCTCAACGAGAAGGAGAGCTGAAGGGGAAACATTCTGTGTGGCAGGGTGATTTTTCTTCCTTGTGGCCACTTAACAGTAGGTATTTATTGTATTTGACCCTTTTATGCCCGAGAGTGCTGTCAGGGTTACCATGTTGATTTGTGCAGAAGCTAAAAGCACCAGATGTGCCAGAGATGCAATTTGTGATTACGTTTGCACTGGATTGTGATTTGAACAGGACATTTAATGATTAATGAACTTACTTTTGAGGTGGGAAGGGGGGTTGTAAATCAAGTCTTCAAACCCCACCCTTGTAGCTCAGAGAATCTAAGTGTAACTGAGGCTGAACTGGGATGCTGCAGACAGCTGGGCCTCCTAGTACCCGTCCTACCTTGCAAGAAACCGAAGGTGAATGCAGAGGACTCAAACGCCACCCAAGAGCCTTTTAAAATAAATAGAAGTTCTAAAACTACTACTTACAGAGTCACTGCAGAAGCATGAAAAACAAAACAAAAGACCCAGTTGGGTTGGTGGGGAGGGGGGAGGGGCAAGGGTTTACAGAGTAACAACTTCTGTGTTGTTGTAAATTACCTCATCTGTATACCTTGTATTGGGACACTTGATTTCTCAGCACTACCTGTGTCTGCATCTATAGCAGGAAATGGAATACCAGTAAGACAGTTGTGTTGGCAATTAACTCTGAAAAGTGGTTTTTTTTTGGTTGTTTAAGTATTTTTTAAACTTTGTTTGAAGTGGCCCTTTTTTTGGTTTTGGGTTTTTTTTTTTGTTTTGTTTTTTTTTTTAAGTTTGAATTCAGGAGGTGTTTGGTTTTTCCTCCCATTGACTTATTGGTTGTAATTGTATTGTAATTGATATAACTAAAAACATAACTGTGCTGGGAAAAAGTTGTGCCATGAAGGTCTTTAATTTTTTTTTTTTTTAATAAAAACATTTAAACAAAGAAATACCCCTGAAGCCTGAGCAATATGCTTCTCTGACCGACACCGTTAATAAATATTGGGTTGATGGAGATGTTGAGTGGGGTGGTTTAAGGTTGGTCAAGGAGCACTAAAATTTGGGAGTTTTTGAGATTAAAGTACAGTGAAAAGAATGTTATGTGCTCTCATACCTGCCCTTGTCACACACTTGGCTCCTTGGCAAGTTGTTTAACTTCTCAATCTGTTTTATCTGTTCAATGGAGTTACAATTTCCTTGAGACTGAGTAACTACGTAAGTCCAGAAGTGTCTAACCTGATAACTCCAAGTCCCCAGGCTTCTGGTATGAAGGGCTTACACTTGGTCCTAGCTTTACCAGTAGTTCTCATAACGAGATGTCCAACAAAAGCCCTCCTTCCTCGGTACCTTTGAGGGAGACTAGACAAAAGGGTCTTCTGAAGTGTTTTTAGCTGACACTGATTTAGAATGTTTATCGTTTAAATGAAAAGTCCATGGAAACACCTTTTTTGTTGTTAAGTGCTGTCGAGTCGATTCCGACCCATAGCAACTCTATAGGGTTTCAAGGAGCAGCTGGTGAGACTGAACCACCAACCATGCAGTTTAAACAACTTTGCAGTCTGACACATTAGCCAACAGCACCACCCCAGGACTCCAACTTGTTTTGTTGTTGTTATAAGTGCCATCGAGTCGCAGAACGAAACACTGTCCGATCCTGAGCCAACCTCACTACTGTTGCTACGCTTGAGTCCATCAATGCTGCCACTTGGCCAATCCATCTCATTGGGGGTCTTCCTCTTTTTCTCTGACCCTCCACTTTACCAAACATGATATCCTTCTCCAGCAACTGGT